TCGATTAACAAATTTTGTACATGTGACGAATTTCAGGTGACGAATTTCGTGTATCAACTTTTTTGCGCCGGACCATAATAATAAATAAATAAACATCAAACTTAATCTATTTAAAAAACAATTAAACATAGATTTTTGCTTTATGAATCAGTTTGCGACGTCTGATATGTAAAATGTCGTACTGAATTTATTATCAACATTATTATAATTATATTATAATGAACTTTGTATGTTGTGGCTTCTTCCGATTGGTAGGTTAACGTCAGGAAACAAAGGATATTGGCAGGGGGATGGTTATGGAACGTCTGGGAAATCATATAACATTGGATAAAATCACATCTTACCTTGATAGCAATGAACAAGACTCCCTGAGAGAGGAAATAATTAGAGTTGTTAAAACATTACATAAACAACATTTTGACTTGAATTTGTCAAGACAATGAACGTGACTGTGGTTTTGATGTGAAGTTAATCGATTTTGAATGGTCGGGGCCTGTTAAAACTGCACATTATTATCACTTTATGAACCATATTGCATGATAAGGTCATGTTGGAGCAAACTTTTCGGAAACCGAGTTTGTTGTAAAATCTATTGATAAACATTATTTTTACCATAGCAAATATATATAATTCTTTCCTTTTGGCCATGTTTGTCCGCCAATGAATTTATGTACTCATCAATGAAAAGAAAATAAAGCTTGTTTCTTATCGGCTTTATTACATGAGCATTAATATACTAATTATTAAATTTCCTTTACCTGTGCATGACATACAAATACAGTCAACCCTCTCTAAGTGCCAATGATGCATGGAGAGCGTGCATTTACAATCATTTTGTTTCACATGACCTCTTTGCAAAAATTCGTGACGTTAGTACATTAATACGAAAATCTTCCTTTTTTAATTAAATATGTGAAAATATAATGTGAAATGCTTTATTTCAACATATCAATATTAATATGTCCATTGAAAATCCGACACCGTAAGCATTGATAAGAGCTTGTAATGTTATAAAGTGACTGCCCATAATAACCTTATAATCTGAAGACAAGACTGTTTGACCCCTTAATACGATTATGTGACCAGCAAATCACATGAAATTGCATTTAGAGAAACGCTCATATAGAGCTGCCGAAAGGAAGCTTGCAATTGCAGAACATAGAACGTGCACTTATCTCTTAAGTCTCATCATGAAACTGTGCATTTAGAGAAAAGTTGCATTAAGAGAGGGTTGACTGTATGTCTGCGATTGCAATGAAAAAAGAACTGTTGATCTTATCTCACGAATGAAGGAAAGAGAAGTAGTTAAGTATCCGAGGAGGGGGATTAGAATGTCCAATCCAAACGCAAGTGAATAAAAAGCGGTAAATGGAGTCGATCTTGCCATCAATTCCGTAGAATCTTTGACATCAGGATTATTACTTAATAACGCGTTAGTGTAGAATCCCATCGAAAGAAATAGACATAATGTTTAAAGTTAAATAATAATCCAGGAATAGCGTATACAAGGCCGATCTTATATCGTGAGTATTTGAAACCCAACTTTAAGGTCACTAATTGTCGTTTATAGGTTTAGTAAGAGTAGAGGTAGTCAAGGCCTTGTAAATCTCAAAGCCGATATTGAACGTATATTGAACCGAACAACTGTCAAATGAAATAATAGTTATTTTTCTTTAGATAAAGATCGCGGTTTTTCCTATCTCCTTGATGTTAAATCAATACATTATTTCGTGGTTCATCACAAGTCGACGTTAATGCTTGCTTATTGATTTTTATTTTTCGCTCTTGATAAAGTTTTAAGTCATTTTTTATCTAGATATTCCCCAAGACTTTTGGTATCACAAATTTAAGACATATGAAGCGATTTTTCTCCTTGTTTAATCTTTGGGTTCTATTGTTGATTTTATTTTATATTATTTTTTATTTAGAGATAGTCTTATTAATGTGTTACGAAAGCCATCTTAGTCAAGTTTAATGTTACTCACACTTTGACACAACATGGATTCAAAAGATGGAACTAAAATTTAGTCCATAAATTCAGACACGAGCCACAGTTTTCTTAATAACCATCAGCTGCATTAGCTAATTTTTCTGCCATACACCAGCAATTTTTGATCAAATGTTCACCTTGTCACAGTCTGCCCATATGGTGTGTGTGATAATATTAATACACGCATTTAGTGTTATCTACCATATTGGTAGCATAGATAATGTGTACAAAGTTATTGGACGCATGTGTTAGTTAAAACATGAAAACTCTTGTTACCTGTACTTTTCATGTAACTGATTACCAATAAAATTTATACCTTTTGTGTTTTTCGTCTACTCATCTGATTTCAACATATTATGAATTTTATTGGTGATGACATGAGAAGTAGTTTCATACGTATCTACATTCTTGTCCACCCATTGTGCATACACATATACATACATATTTATATCCGTAATACAATAACGATAATAGCCGATACCAATACAGCAAAGTTGACGTCATTGTGTTACAATCCTTACTTCTTAGAGCCGATCGAGAAAGAAAACAATAACATTGTAAACCAAAGTATATTTCCGAAACTGCGTCCTTGTGTTGCAGCTTGCAACATGTTCTAGCCGCAATGGTAAAGTTCCTTTTTTACTAAACCACTAAGGATTTTTATGAACAAAGGCCAGCATTATCATTGAAGGCAACGTTGAGTTTGTGAAACTGCTCCCAAGGTTATACTGTCGTTTCCCTTGTTCATTTTCAGTGTACAATTGAAAATAAGAAGGCGCTATTACACTTGTTAATGCTGCGCGAAGCCTGGATATTAATTAATATACACACTGTCAAATTTATTAAATTGCATTTGCGCTCTTTCACTGCGTCCTGTAAGGCGCAAGACGTAATTGTGGGCGAGTTCGTAGTAGACATTGATTACATTCTTGTAATAGACAATAATTAATTTATTTTCCCATTGTCCCGCAGCTTTGCTCAATCCGCAGTGGAATATTAATGCCATTGTTTCCGCTTTTTATCGTCATGGACGCAGTTTTTGACTTGACGTTCATTGTAAATGTAATTTCGCGAATGGAAATTTTCGTTAGTATTATTATGGTCAGGCGACCTGCACGTCATATAGTCTAATATATTGGTGATTTATATTTCTGCGATCAATCTTCCCGTCGAACAATTGTAATTTCTTTTTACGGAGGCTCTACTTCCCACTAGACTTTTTGTAGTTGTTACATCTCTCCATTCGCTAACCAGCAGTCAATCGTGTTAATTTAAATATCTGTAGTAAATATATATTAGGTTATAAAATTACACATAGAGATGTGCTAGCGTGAGAAGAAGGACATCAGTACGTAAGCGAGATGAGGTTGGGGTGACAATTAGGTGAGTGGGAGGGGGTAAACTCGTATGTATCCAAAGTTAGTATTTGATATAGGCAACCAAACTGGCTGGGGGGGAATCCAGCATTCTCGCTTTTGTCTGAATTTGTTAATGGCTATTATGCGTATTATATACACCATACTATTATAGTATGCTATTATTATCGGCGCAAGTATGAATGCGCATTGTGTAACACATTTTAGCAATACTTAAACTCGTCTTGCTTGTCGTCAACTAGGCATAACAGAGCTATGCCCTCAGAACATTCTCGTTCGTCGTCTTCTTCGAGCGTGACTTCGCCGATTCCCACAATAAACATAAAATATGCACCGCCACAACGGTCAAACGGCGGAAATCACAGCTCGAGCAATTCTAACAGAGGTTTGAATAACGAACTTCTTGAAATACAAGAGGAAAGAAGAAGGGATAAAAGTACCTCAAGAGATAAAAAACTCTAGAGATAGAAGCTCATCTCGCACGAAGAGCCCTTCTCGTAGCAAAAACGACAAAAAGGGAAAACTCTCTCCAACTCGATCTAAAAGCCCATCCGGCGACAGGCAAAGAAATAACAGTGGCACGGGTTCGCGCTCGAGAAGTCCTACTCCACGCTCGAAGAGTCCCTCTCCAAAACAAGATTCCTCAAGATCTAGAAGTCCCCTTGGTAGAAACCACAACCGGAACAACAGTGACAACTTGTCAAAACCCTCTTCGCAGGATGCTCGTCTCAGTCCTTCTTCTCATCCGTGGATCGCATCTTCTTCTAACGATCGCAATTCCTCAAAAATATCCAATCGTCTAAGCTTACCTCCTAATTTCAATGAGATGGACTTCTCAAACATAGTCCGCGAGAACAATGAACGATGGGCTAGATTGAAATTGGGGTCAGATACGAGGGATAGTAGAGGCGGTATTATGGGTAGTTTTACAAAATCGGGGACTCTAGGGGGGGCGCCTATTTTAAGGCCAAACTTGTCCGGGGATTCGTTTTCGAGTTTCTCTGGAACAGAAAAAATGAAGAGGAGTCCGTCTTCTACCGGAAAGACGTCATTTAATTCCCCATTATTGGTGCCGGGTGGATTTCCTTTGATTAGAGCCAGAAGTCATAATTCGGCCATGGATACGCCACGATTACCGATGGAAATTTTGAAGGAAAAGCTTCATCCCTTGCAGCATGCTTGGTACGTGTTTATAAGCTAGACGAAGACGATTGGTACCCTACATCTACCTTTTCCCCCAACCGCTCTCAAAAAAAGTCTTTCCCCCTGCTTTCAGACAATCTGCCCAGCGTATGAAATGAGTTTATACATTGTGTTATTGGTATGACCAACATCGTTTTTGCAGAGCAGCTTGAAAGCAGGGGAGATAGCATCATATTTGATGGGATGCGTAATTAGGACTATGATCGGATGAGTATATCAATTGTAATTAAAAAAAATTTTTTTTTTCTTTTTTTTTCTTCAGGACGATGTATTATGACAGTAAACCAGCAATGACCCCGGGCCCAAAAACGCCGACTGAAAAGTTTTACGAGCAGAATTTACAAACTATTGGTACATTTAACACAGTGAGTTGATAAACAACAACACATTTAATGATTTCGCCATAATTAATTATACGTAGTGCTTGCATTATAACTACTTTTAATTCTCCAATCATATAGGTGCAGACATTCTGTCGTTACTTCAATTGGGTAAAGAAGCCGAGTCATCTAGATGTAAACACAAATTTCCACATCTTCAAGGATAAGATTAAACCCATGTGGGAAGATCCCGCTAATGCCAACGTATGAACAAATAAGTATATCAATTGTGTTTATCCCGCAACGTACATGAATTAACGGCTAACTAGAATAAGATACTACTTCACAGGGCGGTAAATGGGTCATTTCAATGCGCAATCCTCAACTGTTAGACCGTTGTTGGACTTGGCTCGTTTATGCTCTCGTTGGAGAAGAACTTGATGAGGGTGATGATATCTGTGGAGCCGGTATGTGAAGACCTGTTAGAGGAGAATATTAAAAATTTTGTACAAGTTTAGTGATATATTTATCTCTTCCTAGTCATGTCGCGAAGATTACGGGGAGACAGAATTGCCGTTTGGGTGAGGGACAAAGACAATGTTCCTGTTATTAATGGTATTGGGTATGTATTTCCTGTCTGTGTTACGAGCTTTTCGTGGGCGCTTGCTAATAACAATCATTACATTACCATTCGGCTGTTCTACGTGGTTTACAGGAAGCGTCTATTAAAGATCTTAGACCTGTTGGACGAAAAGGGTATTGGTATGGACTTCCAGGTACGCATGAAAGTTGCGTCTTTTCTTTCGTTGCATAACTTTCCCTGACTAATAGTTCATGCTACATGATATAGTTTAATGAAGATGCTCTAAAGTCCGGCACATCATACAACAACAAAACCTATCTGTCGTTAGAATCTCTAAAGCAAGAACTTGAATTAGAAAAGAATGGATCTGTGAAAAAACCCGAAATCCAAGAGACCGAGTCAAAAGAACCAGAAATCACTGTGACGACTCCAGATATGGTTACTGTAGATTTTAATTTTACAGAGAACGAGGAAAGTCACGAAAAAGATACCGAAAATCATGATGAAGAGGACGATAAGGAACCTAGCGATGACGAGGCAAACGTAAATGACAAGGAAAACGAGGAAGCGGACAAGGAAGATGATAATGATGAAGGAAGTAATGACGAGAACGAAGAATTACATGGGGAGAGTGAACTAGAGAATAAGAATGATGAAGCACCTGTCGAGAGCGAGAAAGATCATGACGAGCCAGTTGCCGAAATCAATTAATTAATGGGCATGACATTATTCAGATACTTTATACAATTTCCTATTTATTAAATAGTTTATCAACTCCTCTGCACTTTCAATTTTTATAGTATATAATTTCTGTGTAAGATATATTCTTTTCATATAAAATACTTGTTTTTTATTACTTTCAAAAAATTCGTTATTAATAAAAACATGCATGTTCTAATCGTTTTTAACGGGAATCCAACATAAAGTCATACTAATGTTAATTACACATGACCTAAACTCTGATTATGTTGTCAGGCAGACTTGTTCATCTCTTCTATCTCTTCTATTACTATTTCTTCTTTCATCACTGTTGAAACCTCTTGCCGTTCTTCTATTTCCATCCCTTCTGTCGCTTCTGCGATAGTCTCTTCATATTTGAACCATTGATATTGTCCTGTAACCTTCCAAAATTTTACAGTGTTGTCAATTGTGTGTAAAATCGTCGTATCATCTTCGTTGGCCGAATCGTCGTAATTTGGAAATTTTCTTTGACCTGAACATGTGGCAATCAAGGGATGGGTAGGATGGAAGGTAACCGAGGAAACACAATCTGCAAAGATATGGGTAGATATAAGCATGTAGTTTACCAACACAAGTCTTGGCTGAATAGGCTTTAAAGCCAGCGAACTTTTCCTATCTGATTCAATATTGACGTTAAATCCCCCCCAGACTTACCATTATGTCCAACAAAATCCAATACACACCGACTGCAATTTTCGTCGTTTGGATTCATAAGATCATAACATAGAATCCGACCATTCTAAATATTTAACCAATTAGCATACAACGGCACAAACATCGACCATAACACTAGGAACCATTCTTCGAACCTGATCACCAGTAATCAACCATCGCCCGCTGCGATCTATATCAAATGATAGTCTCTGATTCGTTTGTCCTGGTCTTTCCATCTTGTGTAGGATCTCTCCGGTGTTACGTATATCCCAGCAGAATATAAAGTCTTCTCTGCGAGAGACCGAATACAGATAACAACCATCGGGTGAGAATTGAACCTATGAATGGGATTGATTGTAGGATCGGTCTATTGAAATGTGACATTGACGAATAATAAAGTAAACACCTGCGTGACACCGCCAACATTCCCGCGAATGAGGTGTAAAAGTTCTCTGTTATCTTCGTGATAGATGCCAATTGACTGTGAATATGATCCAGCAGCATACAAACCAGAACGATCAGGATTGAAAGCAAGACATGATATTATTCCTGTTCATAAGATCACAAGGTTTGCTAAGATTACGTTATTTTTTTTAAATAGGACTACCATCGTTATTAGGCTTATAGTCACCTTTTTGGCCTGCCTTACTCTTACGAGTAGGTGTTGTAGCCCTCTTCTCACTCTCATTACCAGGGCGCGTGATATCGAATACTTCTACCATGTTTTTATATCCGCAATAGATTCTATAAAAAAATAATAACGCGTTCGGTCGATAGTCATAAATTGCCCATCGCATGCATTATAATCAACAATTAATGTTTCGACTCACTTGCTTCCGTCTAGATTAAAGGTTACCGCATTTGGCCCAATAACTTGTTCGCGGTGATCAATAATCTTGTACGCGCAGCGAGGCTAAACACACAGAAAAGACAACAATTGAGTCTGTACTTTTTTTTTTTTCGTTCATAACTAGACGATTTCTCACCTCTCCTGTCCATGCATCCCATAGCTGTACAGGGTGACCTCTCATTGCCGATAAGAAGCAACAAGTCGTCGGATCTATTCTTTCACACTAAAAGCACTTTATCGTATTCGTCATAAAATAACGCATGTCAAATCAAGGTCAAAAAAGGGGGAGCGAAAATGCCCATTGAATCACCTTCGCCAGACATTAGAGGATACCAGCAAATGTCGTATATGGTCTCGGCCCCGCGGACATGGACTGATGATGGTTTGAGCTCTATTTCTATGTTTAAGAATTTGGTTTGGACAATACAATGAGGAAAAAAAAAAGGTTAAAATACTTTAGCTAGTGAGACGTGTAGAATTTGCTCATTTTACCTTCATCGGTTTCATAAATATTTGGTGTTCTATAAAAATGAAAAGCAGCCGACAGTATGAGAAACCATATTCAGATTAACGACCGCATGATTGAGTAATTAGTAAACATTACACTTCAAAAAGCCTTAATACATTGTCGTTAGACGAAGCTAAAAGGCAACTTCCATCGGGCGACCTACAAATATAAATTCGTTTAAAAGAAATTCGCTAGGTTAAGCAAAAAGGCTGTGCATTATATTCACCACTTGGCCGCTTTGAGAAAGTTATTCTCGTGTCCATTCAAAGTGTCACCAGCTGTGTTAAATCCTAATTCACTGTTTAAACGTGCCATGGTTTCCGAAACCGTTCCATTATACAAATCTTTAGTTGTACCGCAAAGATTGAGTCCTTGAGAGAAATCATACAGTAATTCGTAATAATATGACGAAGCGTCCTGCATGGTCTGGTCGTATGCAAAGATGGAAAGGTTCCATTCAAGAGTTTACGAGATTGTGTAACAGTAAATTTTGGTGCAACATGAATTTTAGTTGCAAAGCATTTCTGTCTTCGGGCAAGACGTATCTTGCCTTGTGTGACTACCATAGTGCAGGTCATTTTGTTCCCAGACGACAACAATCTTTCAAATACAACGTAAAAAACACTGCCGCTAAATATATTCGCATTTACTCTGCCCTGTAATATTCTCGGCTTTTTTTTTTTTTGGAATGCTTTAAAAATAACGCGCAGTTCCGTTGAAAGAGCACGATGCGTGTGTACTTTGAGAGTTCCGGTATGCAGCCAATATAGTAAATACAATGGTCGTCATAAATATCCGGAATTTAATCTTGCAAACAAAAAATCATCTCATCATTTTTGTATGCTTAAATGTTACTACACTAACTCGGGAAAGTAATCCGGCCAGCTAAAGAAATTTTTTATTTATTTAAAAATTTTTAATACAAATATAACATTTAATACTTGGTGGGCCATCCTTGATTCTTAATGCATGCTCAATTCCATGTGGCATGCGTTCTATAAGTTTAGTATAAGTTTCAGATGGATGTACAGTACAGAACATTTATTGTGCCATCATAATCCAGTTTATTAATATCCGCGCGCGAAAATATCTAAAAGTAGATTGCCGTGGAAGAAAACCACGCAACCGTTAAGTCTTTTTTTTTGAAATTCCAGATCCAAGTCATAATCAAATTGATTATTAATGTCCGCGCGCGAAAATATCCAAAGTAGATTGCCGTGGAAGAAAACCACACAACCGTTAAAAGTCTTTGTTTGGAATTTCCAGATCCAGATCATAATCCAGTTGATAATTAATATCCGCGCGCAAAAATATCTAACAGTAGATTGCCGTGGAAGAAAACCACACAATCGTTAAAAGTCTTTTCTTAAGTATCGCCCACAGGTTCTCGATTGGGTTTATATCTGGCGAGTAAGAAGGCCAATCAAGAATTCGAATACCATGGCGCTCAGTTATTTCACTTGCCTTGTGGATGGGAGTTATCCACAACCAGTTAATATTAATGGTAATGCGTTTGGTTATGATGCACAATATTGATATTTTATGTACCTGATCAAAATTCCGGATGTTTATGACAACCACCGTATCCCAATCACTTATGCTTCTCCACAGGCGCGGTTGCGTTTCTTTGTTGCAGAAGTTGAGAATTCTTATAACTTACAATTTGCTCTGCAGGATGCCTAACATCGCGTCGCTTTGAGCTCTGCTTGTTCTCAATGGCAATCTACGCCAAAGAAAGGGTGGTGGGTATAGATAAAACCGTCAGATTCTCCTTGTCATGTTAGGTGCTATTATGATCATTGTATAATTACCCTCTTACAAATTTTGTTTCCGTTGGCTTTCTCTCACTGCTTCTGTTACCATCTGTATTTGATAATACTAGCAATTAGTAATGATCTGAGTAATGTGTTCTAGCTGTCAAATTTGTATTCGATTCACAACCACTTCTGCGTGTTCGAGAATTATGGTGCTCTGACTATTCTCAGTAACAAAATCTCCCAACCAAGTAGTGACGTGGTTACTCCGCAACAACGATGAATATAACTATGGGACAGTAATTGAGAGGACTGAGCAGGTGCTTTGATTCTCTTCTTTACCTTCTAAGCCGTTCGTTTTGCTCTGAAGGTTAGTTTTCGTTCGAGCATTGGACTCTCTTTTCAATCTACGTCTTCGTTCAATTGAGGTTTCCGCTAACGTTGTCCATAATAATATAATTTCGAGTCGCGCCGCGGTTGTAGCAAAAAAAGGCAAGATATTTTGTGACACGAATATGAATAATTCACGTGTAAAGGACATGTATTTCCTTTATTGAGCCTAATTTCTTTAACTCCTTGAGCCAAAGTCGCTGAACGCTCTGAATTGAATCAACTGGAATATTTAAAATAATTATCTGCCGTGCAAAGCCTTGATAGCACCGGTCTTTAATATCCATGGCTGCCAGCGCTGGTGACGGATTGAATGGCGGTGGAGTATCATATGAGTTAAAAGACGGTCGTGGAGGCGGTTCAGTAGTCATAAAGTAGGATGACGCCGCTGGGCAAAAAGTGACGAACTAAACGTGCGAGCTAGAGGGCAAGGAATTTATAAAAAATCAGCGAGACCTGAATCAAAAACGCGTCGCGCAGGAAGCTGTCAGGAATGTTGCAATAACGTGACTTCTGTATTACATCTCTGAACGCGTTTGCCGTTCCCTTAGCGGATTGAATTTGATATGCTTTTACTGTACGCTAATATTAATACCCATCTACATTATTTCGATTTTCTTTACGCACTTAGGAGAGTTTTGTCTGTACTTGGGTTTTTTTTCCCTGACGTTCGGGCCGCGTCTCTCAGCGAGCTGCGCGTCATGGATCATATGCGGCCATAAGGCGGTATGGTTCCTCTGGCGCACCTTACATGTCAAATGCCATTGCGGCCATAAGGCGACAACGAAATTGAAACTATATTGAAAAGTTACCGATAACCACAAGACTGACCTACTACCCAGCCGACTTGTTTTGCCACCTTCCCTCCCTTTTAACAGCTGCTAGCGAACCATGAGTTTTTCCTAGTGGCCCATTGCTATCCGTTAGAGCTCTGCTTGAATGGCCCTGGTAACCATGGAAATGATCTGCGTTTTTTCCAAGTGTCGGAAGTACACGTACTTGGAGTCGTTTACTAAGTAATGTTGATTTGATTCCACTTGAGATAACAGACGAGACACATGATTTATATTATGCCGAGGTAAACGATTTACTTATGCGTCATGTTTATTGAATAGTTTAAATAATTATTGACTTATTATTACGTATTATTTCCACTAGTTATGTGATGAGCATCCAGATGTTCTTACCATGGATGTTTGGGTTACCATTGGATTCACATATGATGCAAGTAAACAAAAGTATTGTCTAATAAAGGAACGTTGGGGATATGCATTATGTCTGGCATGTACATATCCATTAGAACCAAAGTTGAATGCATTCTGTTATCGTTGTAAAGCACCAAGACCTCCTGGTTGGACTACAGGCAATAAGTCTTTGGATTTATTTATTATAGAATCATGGAAGAACACTAGGAATAAACATGATGTATATATACACTGGATTGAATACTCTCTATTGACAAACATACAGGAGATGACATCATTACATCATGGATGCACACACACAGCAGATTGGCAAACAAATGAATTGACACGTGTGACACTCAAAAAGATAGTTGACAAACAAAATGATCATAACAATCAGTTATTTGATTTTCATCAGGTAAATTATTTCACATATAAAACGCAAATAGTATTATTAAAGTAACCAGTGTTGTAACATTGTATTTTTTTACTCAAATAGCTAACTGAGGAATACCCCGAAATATTAACACCGGATAATATTTGGATAATTGGGGTCACTCGGGAGCCATCTACTCAGGAATATTATTTAGTTTTCTACCATGATATACACTCACTATTGGACAAAACTATACAACATTACAAATATGTTGCATATATGCAGTATAGTGACTTTTACGAACTCAATGAGATTGGATCTGGTAGTTACAGAACAGTTTATACTGCCAAATATAAAAAGTATTCAGAAATATATGATATTGATATACCGCAAACTGTTGTACTCAAACGGTTTAAGAGTTTTGATGAAATGCCGGAATTATTTATTTCTGAGGTAAGCAATTATAATTACTGATGTTATTAATTAAAGTGATATTTAATCTGACTCTGTATTATTTTATTTAATAGTTCAGAAATCATGCCAAGTGCA